CGCTCTCTTTCTGTCTCTCTCTCTGTCCCTTTCTGTCCCTCTCTCACCCTCTCTCACTATTTAACCAGAACTTCTGTTTTCCAGGAAACCGTCACATCCTCCATGGAGCCAATCTATGGGTGAAGGACGCTGCCCTAGCTTTGTCTAAGGAATTCAAACCTTTTGGTATGTTCTGATGTTTTGTGTATGTGCCTTTTCTGATATCTGCCTTTTTCTGACACCAGTTTTAGTTAAAAATTTAATGTGTTATGTTCTTCATTCTTTTTATTAATTGTTTTTCGTCTAGACATTGCTAGTGTATGGTGATTGTATACAATGAGTTCAGATATAAATAAGATTGTCAGCATCATTCCAGTCTCCCAGATCAATTTCTTTAGGGGTTTCCAGATAAAGCTGCTATTTGAATAAAGACATCAAAGAGCATTTCATCATATAGTTCTGTTTTGTTCCGATATTTACTTCCTGGTTTTTAATTGAAAAATAACAAGCGCCCTGGTCATTGTTCTCATTTGAACAATCGGTTTTCTTTTCTTTTTTTCAAAATTTGAAAAAAATGACTTATGCAGTGGTGGAATGAAGCTGATGATATGTTGGAATTATGGCTCTCTTATGGAGGACATTCACAGTTTGCTGACATTGGCTTCTGAGATGAAACATAAATTCTAAGGATTGTCTGTTTCAACTCACAAACATATAAACACTTGGCAGTATCACACATTGGAACGTCAGCACCAATGTACATGCACGCCTGTACACACACTTACACACACACACACACACACACACACACACACACACACACACACACACACATGCCCATATATGCATACACATGCACGGGCACACGCGCTCACGCGCACAGACATATTCATTCTCATTTTAAAATATAATGCAATGTTTATTTCCAATGGAAGGCATTTTGCATGGTGTAGTTTGTACTTTAGTTTGTCCTGTTGGTCTTCCTTTCGTGTCTTCTTCCCATTTCCAGCACTTTTCTTAAAGAATAAATGAATATAGAAAATACAAAGTTTATGTTTCCTTTTGGGACACGTGTCTGAGATGACTGTAGAAAGTGACCAGAATGGTTCAATTCGCACATTTTTTTTTACTGTGTTAATCCTTGTGGAAATGATTTTTACTTTGTTGTTACTTGTATGAAAATAAGATTTTGTTTTACTTGTTTCCAGGGTACAGTATACCGACCATCAGCCTGCCTAACGTTGCCTTGTGGGGGCTCAGTCTGTTCAACAAGACAGCCAAAACATTCCTGCCCAATGTCGGCAAACAGAGTCAGTTTGACAACACCAGGGTAATTGTTTTTCCCTCAGTCTTTCTCTCCTTCGCTTTGTTCTTTGTTAATGCCACTTTTGAGTCGGCTTGTCATGGTGCTCGTCTCTTTGTCCAATAAAGATGAATCTTAACTCACTTGCGACTGGGCCCTTTCACCAGTCTCAAGCGTTGAAGACTGGCGTTTTTGGGGGTATTTCAATAAATCACCACCACAACTCTCAGAATTACCCTATTGTAATTATTTTTTGACACAGTAAAGTAACATTCAAGCTTAATCTAATACAAAAAAACTAAAGTTGCGTAAGTCTAATACTTTAATTTGTATGATTTTTAAAAAATTGGCATGAATTTGATTTTCCGAAAAATTTCCAGAGACGTGACAAGTAGAATGAAATTCACTACAACAAAAATAAAAGTTCAAA